AGGAAAATACCCGAACAAAGCTGAAGGATATATATATATATATAAAAACATTTGTTAATATATATTTAATTAACATTTGTAACTCTGAGTCTCATGATAACCATAAAACCATGGGTTTATGTTTATTAGGGCTCTACAGAGCATCCCAAGAAACACTCAGTGAAGCCTATTGGCATAAGTGAAACATCCCTTTTCTAAGCAGAGAGGCCATATGTATCCATTGATCCAGATACCTGGCACGTCTGCAAGAGCTTTCCTGGATTACCTTTGCATGTGTGTGCATCTACCCACGAGACCTCTGCAACTGCCAGTGGATGCTGCTTCAATAGTTCAGTGAAGAGTGCTTTGCTTGGCCAACAAGCTACAAAAAGCTCTTCTTTCAGCGCTTTACACAGTTATTGCAATGTTTAAACTTTTACTTTTATTAAAATTAAAAAGGGAGATTCTGAGTTTGCCAGGGCTTATACCACAGAACAATTCCTTTATAGAGACTTAATGGACTGGCTTTGTTTCATGCTTCTGAGTTTTTTCAACTAATTGAACCAGGATACCCTTTACACCTTTCATTTGATTTCTGCCATTATGTGGTATTATCTGATCTATATAGCCACCCATTTCACTTTCATGTGACTCTAGACATCTTAGAATAAAGCAAATAAAAATACAAAATATGTAACATAAAACAAAAATAAAAATACACAGCAGCTGGATATGATCTAACCTAACATCCATACAACCAAGAGTAAGCTCTAATCCATACCTACAGTCCCAAGCCCAAGCCCAAGCCCAAAACCAAATTTTGAAGGCCTTACTAAAGGCCAACAGGGATGGGGCCAATCTAATCTGAGGGGAATGCTGTTCCAATGAGTGGGTGCTACAACAGAAAAGGCCCTCATTCTGGTCCCCAGTAGACAATACTTCCTATTTGATGGTATCTGATTGGATAGAATGGATAGAAACAATACAGGAGTGGGGGGAAAGAATCCCATAAGTATGTATGTGTTAAAACCCAATATGCATAACTCTATATGTATGTAATTATCATATATTTATAATGCTACCCAATTCATCAACAACTCTGGGTGATGTACATAATTAAAATCAAGGTATCAAACATCAGAGGGGGGAAAAGTCATTCAGGTGAAGCAAACCATCCATTAAAAGCCCATAATATCCCTCACAAAGGGAGCCCAAATGCCATCTTAGCCCAAAACCTGGTGGGGAAAAAAGCCAAGGCCTCAGAACCTGATTAAAATATGTCAGAGTCAAAGTCATGAAAACCTCAAACTTACATAACAGATATGAGGGATGTTAACTTAATTTGTCTAACAGTACCATCTTTGTCAGATTGATGAGCTTTATTGCTGGCTCAGCTGAATTCAGTAGAAATTGTTTTAAAGTGTGCTTTACAATTGGTGTGGTAGAACTTCAGAGGACACTGAAGATAAGTCAGAAGTGAGAAATGAACCTTGAACTACTAATTGAGTTATCATTCCTAGGTACCTATATGTGTTCTGCATATCCGTTCTTCATAATTTGCCCGAAGTTTAGATGACACAGCTTTTAAATGGACCATTTACCCCTCACACAGAAAGTTAGAAGTATGAGGGGGAACATAGATTTAGCAGATGATTAGTAAGGGGCCTACTTCTTTTTCATTCTGTCAACATGCAGAAGAGCTGCCATGGCTCCCTTTTGGGTTATCAAATCACATCCGACAAAAATATCCCAATGATCAAGATTACAATTGTACAAAGTTACACGGTTAACAATTCACATTTTTTGGCTATTGTTTGCAATTAGATAAGAGCACTGGTGACAATCTACTGCTAGTTGCCAAATGGGGAAGATTCAAATGAACCAGGTAAATAAAAATGCACTGATTTATTTATTGATTAAGACTGAAGTTCATAACACCAAATAGGGGCAAAAAACCTCATCTAGATTGTGGCTACAATTGTGTATTGCTCCAACTAATAGAAATTATATTAACATATTATATTAATTATATTAGGTCAGTTTTTTCACCACCGGATTTTTTGGGATATTTGGAATATGTTCTTTTTCAAGAGAAAGTCATTCAAAATTCTACCCTTAACAGCATTATCAAATTAAAAAAAGTACTAGTGCCAACCAGAAGTGGATTCATAAATTACGCTAAATTGTACTGTGAAGGAATTTGTTGACTAAAATACAGCACAGAATGAAATGTTCCCGAGGGCTGTAAATTGTGTTAGATTGTGGTTATTTTTACTACACATTTCATATCCAGACTAATGCCAGCAGTGCTCTGTTATCTCTCACATCTCCTCTAAGGTCCACCGATTCTGGCTATAAATGTATCATTTAAACTGATGATTAACAAAGCAATATCTGTATACAGCATATTGTACATCTCTGTAATATCACCATCAAGACTACATGGAGCAAAAATACTTTCTGGCAATTCCCAAAGCCTTTGAAATAGCAGTTGAGAATTAAGTATGTTTATTCTATCTTAATATAAGAAACCTGTTCATGAAACTCTTTCTCCAGCATACGTAAAAAAACATGTGCACAGAGTGGATTTCCAATAACCCATTTTAAAAAATGAAATGATTTAGCTTTTTTAAAAAATAAAATTGCGTACAATAAAATTGCATACAACGTGATACTTTTTAAAACAGCCAACATGTTTCCATTTTCCTAGCCAAAATCAGCTCAGCGGGAAGAAAAAAATGGGTTCCCCTTTTTTGTAACGTTCTTCTCTTTTAACAGTACTATACTCGGTTATTTCAAATAAAGAGCTTGAAATATAGTTGAGGGAAAGCGAACTATTCCGTACCTTTGGGATCAGCAGTTTCATTTTAAGAGGCAAACATTAATGCATATTTACATTTAATTTTCAGTTTTGTAAAATGTTTCTCATGTGTGAACTGATAATTAGAGATGCAGAGAGTGCATTTAATTTTTTCTTTCCATACTGTTGTCCTGATGAAAATCTCTTTCTTGAAGCTAATACATGGGCATGATGTATTAGCTGATAACCCTACTGGTTATTCCTAAAAGTTATCACTATCTCCCAGAAAACAGAATGCCAGAATTGGAAGGTACCTTGGAAGTCTTCTAATCCAACCCCCTGCTCAGACAGGAGACCTATACCATTCTGGATAAATGGCTGTCCAGTCTGTTCTTTAAAAAGCTTCAGTGATGGAGCATTCATAACTTTTGGAGGCAAGCCGTTCTGTTGATTAATTATTCTCATTGTCAGGAAATTTCTCCTCAGTTCTAGGTTGGATCTCTGCTTGGTAAGTTTCCATAAATTACTTCTTGTCCTTGGGTTAGGTTTAGGTTGTCACAGCCCCTCAAATATTGAAAGACTGCTATCAGAACTTCTCATTGTTAGACTAGACATATTGAGTTCGGGAAAACATGTATCATATATTTTAGCCTTCAACCCCTTAGGGGTTGGCAGGTGTTGTGAAGATGAGCTACCTCTGCCAGCTAACTGGGGATAAATGCAGAAAGCCTATGGACAATATGTGGTCTGCAGACTATGGACTGTCTATGCACAAGAATTACAAGGATATGCCTTATAAACAGACTTAGAAAAGTAAAAGCGGGGGGGAGGGGAGATTCAAAGAAAAGTGCTTAATCAAGAAGTGTAATTGCATGCTCAGAAAAAAAGAAAAGAAAAAAAATGCAATGTTGGATGATTGAAAAGATCCAAAGGTTAGAGGGAATGTGGAGCAGTTGGCCTTTGGGGAAATAGCTACGTCTTGGAGTCATTTTATAAACAGGTAACTCTCTCCCTTACTCACCCATAGCAGCCATTTTATGAGAAAATTCACACTATTCTCAAATATATTTGCTTTAGTATTCCAACTGTATTCACCAGCCTAAAGAAATTGTTAAGGCCTGTAGTTGAGATGAATGTCAGGACATAAAGTAAAGACATTAGACAGCCTTTGTCCAAAGGTTTTGTAGGTAAGAAACAGCACTTTGAATTGTGCCTGACAATTTAAATGGCAGCCAGTGAAATACAATCAGTATAACTACAGAGGGCTCTGAGGTTTGTCTTGGGTAATTATCGTTCAACATTTTTACACCATCTGTAACTCTGTTTTGCAGAAGTCATCTACCTTACAGATTAATATCAGCAAGAGAATACAAGTCTTAGTAAGTTCCTTGTTAATTAAGTCTGCATAATCCAAACGTTCTCTCTATGTCAGTGTCTCTGCAGCTTTAAGATGTGTGGAATTCAACTCCCAGAATTCCCCAGCATACATCTTAAATCTGCCAAGGATGAAAACCATTGCTTTATGTAATGGCTTAT